AGGGAGAACTAGGGGCTGCAGTCTCTGCCCAGGACCTCAGTGGCCAACACTCTCACACCACCTTGAGCCCAGCCTGGCTGGGAAGTCACCCCTTCCCCATCATCCTGCTCCATCCACAGCCCACATCCCACCTCCCATGTCCTGCATCCCACATCCACACCAGCAATGAGGACATCAAAGAACCACTCCACCACTGTCCTTCCCCTTTCTTCTCAAGCCATCCCAGACCCCCTGAGTTACCTCCATGCTACCCCCTTATCCCGTGCTGCTGGACTGCTGCTGTCCCAGGGAAGGGCAATCCTCAGACAGGGCAGGAGCTGCAGCCACGGGGCCGCATTTCCCAGGGGAGAAGGCAGAGCAGGCTGGGAACCCTCCTGGCCCTGCACCGAGGAGGTGCCCAAAGTCCAGCAAAATCAGGATGAGGGATTTGCTCCAGGCTGAGCAACGTGGCTGAACAAACTCACGGAGCATTTCCCATCCACACCCCACTTCTCATCCAGAATTTACTGCCTTGTGTGGTGCTTTATAGCGACGCAAAGAGCCGTATGAAAGCTGGCTATAAAGAGCAAGAGCAATGACTGTGGTGGAGCCCACTTTGGAACCAGCTCAAGCACCAGCTGTTAAGGATTTATTACCATCCCATTTCCTAAAATGACTTTTTAATAACTTATCAAATTAAGGTACATTGAGGAATGACTAAATCACTATCAGTCACTGGATGGGATGAACGTGGCTGTCCTGCACCATCCCCAAACAGCTCCCACGAGGCTCTGCCTGCTCCCCAGTGCAGGAGCAGGAGCCATTTCAAAAAACAACCTGGAGCAGCAAAAAAAAGCACACGGGAGACAGCCGGGTTTCCATAGGAAAAAAAACGCTTTTATTTAACAATATATCAGGTTCCATCACGGCTCCATGGAGTTCAGATGCCACAGAGCTGGTTACCGATGCTGATGATATGCTACTGGGCAGGAGAGCTGGGGAGAAGGCGAAAGGAATCAAAAAGGAGGAACATGACACGAAGAAACAAAAGTCTGCAGTGCCAGGGAGCGTGGCCAACAGGGCCCTGGCACCGGCACCGCCAGAGCCCCCCCAGGAGCCCGGGATGATCAACCAGCGCGGGATTGCCAAGCCCTGCTCCGGGATGTGCCGCAAGGGACCAGCTGTCCCTGAGGAGGGGCTGGCACAGAGGGTCCTCACCCCCTCTGTGCCACAGCTGGAGCACCAGTGTCCCCCACAGAGCCACATTCCCGCTGCAATTCCCAGCCCTGGCCCAAAGCTCCCATCCCACCTGCCCTGCGCCGGCAGCGGGACAGGCTGCATCGGGGCTCCAGGTCCCAGTCCGCTCCCCAGCTCGTAGCAGCAGGGGATGGAGATGGAAAACCTGGATGCTCTGGAGATGCCAGCACATGGCAAGGGCTGGGGGCAGCCCCGCGGCTGGTTGATCGTGGGACTCGCCCTCCCGGGGCTGCGGGGCCACGGCGGGCGCGGATGCGGTGGGATGTAGACGTGGTCACAGCTCTGAGATGCGGGAGCACGCGGGCGGGTGGGCTGGTGTGCGCCCCCCCCCCAATCCTGCTATAATTGCAGATCCACAAGCAACTGGGACAGCAGGGCTCCCAGCTGCCTTCCGGCTGCCCGCAAGGAAGTGCCAGGCATGCCAGTGACACCGGAGATGGTGACAGCAGAGATGGCTTGGGTGGGCACGGCCACCTCCCCGAGGGCAGGGACCCTTGGCACTGCCCTCCACAAAGCCTGGGTGCTGCCCAAGAGGAACTGGCCACCCCCAGCCCAGGCACCAAGCAGAGAACAGGCTACACTGGCAAGTGGAAAACAAGAACAGTTGGGAAACAGGATCTGCAACAAGAGCAGCTTCACAGGTCTGGAAAGGCGGATCAGGACCTCGGGATGTCACATTGAGTTCCAACACTCCAGGACAATCGTTTTTGGTTAAAGATAAAAACAGGAGTTTAAAATCAGATGCTCCTTTAGTTCAACTTGTGTGACTGAGCCTCTTGCCTGTGCTCAGGCTGGGGCTGGAAGCTCTGCCTGGACCCGGGATGGCCAGAAATTCCCTAGGAATGAGCCAGGTCTGCTCTCTGCTTGGGGCCTGGCAGGTCCTGCTTTGTATTGAGGGCACAGCCCCCCACCCACCCCAGTCCCCCCAGCCACCCTGCACACCAGCACAGCCCGCAGGGCAGCTCCAGGGCTGAGAGCAGTATGACAATGTTTTACACCCGTTCCTGTGGTTTAAAATTTTTTTTTTTTTTTTTTTTTTTTTAAAGTTCTCATTTGTTTTTCTAAGAAAAAGCAAGCAGAAAATAATTCAGAGTTTATACAAAACATCTTTACATTATTTCTTCCAAAAAAGACTAGTATTTACAGAAACAAAATGGAAAAAAAAAAAAAGGTTAAAAAAAAAAAAAAAAAAAGAAAAAACCAACCAAACTTCAACACTTTCCATGAAAAGAACTGCAGGGACACACTCCATTCCAGGAGCCAGCAGACCGAGGTGCTCAGCAAAAACCAAGAGTTCTGATTTCACCCTTTCTTCACTTATTTACAAGGTTTCTCAGCCACCCCCAGCAACAGGAGTGGGGCTGACAGGAGCTGGCTGGGGACAGGGACAGCCATCATGGGAAGCCACCCTGTGCCCTCAGTTTGCTTCAGGGATGACACATGGCCAAATTCCTTCCTTTCCCCTCCCAAAATGAATCCAAACTACATCACCCCCTGCCTGCCTTCTCCACACCAGCTGCTGCTCCCCATCCATAAAGCATCTTCCACCAGCACCGTCACCACTGCCCAGCCATCCAGCTCTGCCCTCTTGGGGTCATGGTTTTGCAGAAGGAAGAGGGCACTGGTGAGGGAAAGGGGGATTTGAACTCTCAAGACAGAATTTTCTGTGATTTCTGAGAGCAGATCCCATCCTCTGCAGGGATGGGGGGTCCTGGCCCCCCAGCAGCAGCCCCCGGTGGGCAGTGATGGCACAGATATTGCAGAGGAGAAGAGGCTGAAAGGTGCTGTATGGGGGGGGCTGGGGGTGTGAAGAGAAGGACTGGGCAGGGGGAACAGCTACTGTGGCTCTTCTCCCCTAAGTGCAGAAGCTGGTTTAAATCCATCCCCACAGCCAGAGGAGAGCTGGGGCAGCCTGCCCTGCTCCAGCCCCAACTCCTGCCTTTAAAAACAACAACAACAACAACAACACCCAAAAAACCACAAACCCAAGAGGGTGACACTGGGGGATGGTCCTGTCCCGCTCAGGACCACAGCCCCAAACCCCCAGCACAGCACCCTGGATCCTTGGTCCCCTGCTCTCCCTCTCCTGCCTGCTCCTCATCAAGGCACTTTTGCAGAGCAGCTCTCTCGCTCTTTGGGCACTTGCTAAGGTGGGTTTCAGGGCGCTGGGGACAGGCAAGGACAAACCAGGCCAGGCAGCCCCTGTGCCACCACAAAACCACTGTGGCGAGCAGCCCTGGTGGAGCAGGACCCCCTGCCCCATGCCTGCTCCCTGAGCAAAAGCAGCTACTTCTGGAAGGAAAAGAAAGCGAGGAAGGAAGGGATGGCTGCTGGTCCCCTGCCTGGGACAGCCCAAGGACAGGCAGGCAGCAGGGCTCTGCCAGCCCCACCCTGCTACCAGCATCAGCCAGAGCTCTGGCAGGTCCTCCTGGGGAGAAGAAGCTGGGAACAAACCCACCAGAAGACCCCAAGGCTCAACCCCCTTCCAGTTTTGAGCAGGAGAGGGGCAAGGCAAAGGCAGAGAGAGCCTGGGACCCCCAGGAGGTGGCAGGGCTGGGCGATGCTCCCTTGGGCTGGTCCTCAAAGGCAGGTCCCACAGAGGGACACTATGTTATCCTGGTAAACCAGGTGGGTAGAGAAGCCTTCAGCTCAGCTCCCAGCCAAGCCCAGCCTGGTGCTGAAGCTGGCCCAAGTGCTGCCCACCTGCTGCCACCCCCAGCTCCCCCTGCACAGCCAAGGGCTCAGCTATCTTGTTTTTCCAGTTCTCCTTTCCAAGGACAGCCACGTGCAGCATCACTGGCTGGGGGACAGGACAGGGGCTGCAGCTACCCTCCCCTGCCCACCCACTGCCCCCCACTTTGCTTCCAGCAGGCTCAGCCCCAGCCTGATGGAAACCCTCAGCACAGGCTTCTCTCCAGTGGGGCACTCCTGGGGAGTCAGGGAGATCTGCCGGGCTGAGGCTGCTGCTCCACCCTGGGAGCACCCGGACCCTCACACACTGAATGCTTGAGACATGGTACAGGTATTATTTTGTTTGTTGTTTTTGTTTTTTTTTTTCTTTTTCTTTCTTTCTTTTTATAAAGAGACTAAACCAAGAGTCAACAGCTACAAACACAAAAGTTTAAAAGGGCAGTGGTGGGAGCAGGGGGGTCAGCCCCACGGCCAGGACAGAGTGCTGGAAGGAGGTGACGGTGGGTGCCGAGGGCAGC